GGGTGAAAGGGATAAGAGCGTCAGACAGTAAATGAGAAAGAGGGATAGAAAGTAAGAGAGAGGAGTTAAGAGAGACAAAACAGAGAGATGGAGAGAGATAGAGAGAGGCACAGACGGAGAGTGAAAGAGGGTAGCGAGAGAGAGACAAAGAGAGAGCAGGTAAGGAGAAGAAAGAGAGAGAATTACACAACACATGTTTGATTTACGTCGGAAAAACTCACTAAAGGTCAAATATGGCAGCAGGACAATTTTGTAAATGATTTTACAACAGCAAATTTTAGAAGAACAAGCACTGATTGTAATGATTATTGACCATGAAAGGTGCAAAACACTGTAACAAAACACCTACAAATATACATGCAAAAAGGCTTAGTGCTCGTCAGTGTATTCATGACTTTTAACTTCCTGTTCGTAGGTGACATTTGAGGACACTGGGCCATTCAAAAAGATATAGTATTTGTTTTGAATTGTTAATTGCTATGGAAACAGTAATCATTTTCAATCACTCCAAAACTGGATATCTCTGCCACACCAGCTCTTACGGCTTATGGCAAATTCGCCACAATGAGTTCTGATTACTCTCAACTAGGGCAGGGAAACACGATCTTCTCCTTGTATTCATTGATCGCCATTTCTGGTTACGTTTTTTTCTCTTTAATGGCTTTCAGTATTAATTTTATCAACATAAACAAGACAGATTTTCTCTTAGGGGAGGGGTTTTTCTCCAAACTCTGCTTCAAACCACATGCTTTTACTGATAGGATTGCTGGGCAAATCTAGAAAGAGTTCTGTATTTTTTTGTACAGAGTCTTATCATTCTGGTCACCACGCCCTCCGTCACATCTCAAGCCAGAACCAAACATGATTATGCAATCAGATTCGCTTTTTTTAGTCACACGTGAAACGAAAGAAACCATCGGTCACCCATCATTTTGAATAAAATTGCATTTCTCTCACCTCAGAAAAACAAAGTTTAGTTCTTCATTCATTGATTCTGTAGAAATCTATAATGTTTTGCTTTGATATTATTGAAGAAGTTTGTATTCTGGATCCCAGGCAGGACAGAGGATGTGCTGTAGGCTCCAAGATGACTGATGTTTTGAAACTATAGGATCTCAATTTAAATGTGATTAACTGCACAGCCCTACCCACAATTCAACCATAAAATGGATAAGTCATTACTTCTAATAAGTCATTACTTCTAATAAAACCTCCACAAGGACTACTACCCACAGGCTTAATCTGCTGTGTGTGTGGCCGCTGTAAACAGGACGAGCTTGTGCTAATCTCCTGAAAACAAGGCACTGACTATGGAAGAGAAGCTGCTAATGACTTGCATCAATTTATACTATGGTTACAGGTTGAATAATCTAGGACTGCTTTAATGATGGCATACTGGGAAATATGACAAAAAATAATGAGTTTATATGACAACCACATTGAACCATCACCATTCCTGATTAGATATTATTTGGATTTAAGAATGACTAAAAATAATGAAGTGCACTATGTAACTTTCTGTTGTAGAGTCTGCCATCTGCTTCTACATAAAAGATGTTTTTTCTTTGCCTCATATCACAGGATGGCATGAAACCTATCCATCTCCATGGAGACAAGCATGTTATGCCATCAGACCAAATTATAAGTCAGACATGTGGAGAGTTGACCCTGCTCAATGTTTTCAAGGTGTCTTTCTGAATAAAAACACCTGAATAAAAAAAAAAAAAAAAACATAGAGGCTTAATGTAGTACTGTGGGACATTATAGGTAAAGAAATAACATCTCTGTGGAGACACATAGATGGCATGACCTTCACTGGAAAACTTGCATAGATCAAAAAAACAAAAATCACAAATGCTAGTCAAATGTCTTTCTCTGAACTCTGCTCCAAGACCCAGACACATCACTGACAATTATTGAATCTCCATCTCAATCAAATCAATTAATTTCTATAGCTTTATCTGAAGCTCAGAAAATACCACACAATTATTGTTACTTGCTCCTCTTAGGATGTAAACTTACAAAAGAAAGTAGTATAATGATACAGAAGTTGATTATGTTTTGCCTCATGTACCTGCCTACATGGGACAGTTTATTGCTCACATCATTATAAGAACTTGCCTTTCAAACATATGCAAACATTATAGCGCACCATAAATACCTTCCCGTGCCTGTCAGCTTGTTATCAGTGGGAACTCCACTGTAGAAAAACTCACAAAGTCGTAGTAATGACAAAAACAACTCCACACAGGCCAATGAAAACAGTGTACTGCCAAGTTACAAGCTGTCCCCACGAGCTAAGAGCCACGACCACAGCTGTACAGAGAGGGGTATTCATCATTACATGGACTTATCTCAAACACTAATTTAAAATGGTCATTTCTGGATGAACACTCTTATTGTAATGCTGATGTCTATCAGTACTTTTACAATGATTCAAAGCAGGATAAGAAGTCACTGGACAAAGTAAAAGGTAAAAACATGTATGGCGCTTTATGTGGTGTGTAATATTGACAAAAATAAATCCTGATAGGTTTTTGTATTACATTATTATATATTATGGCACTCAATCAGTAATATGCTAAAAAGGCATCTTTAAATGTCTTGGTTGAAGTATCACACTAAAGTGAAAAGACTTTAAAAAAGAATGTACCAAAAAAGTGTAGAAATATATCACCAAAATCCATATTATTTGAAAAGATTTTGAGGTATTTTAGGCTATTATTTCTATAAAATAACTCAATATATAAATGATGCATCTTTATAAAGCAAAATTCCAGCTGCGATTTTCTCATTTTTCTGACTTAAACTCATCACAACATTATCCTACAAGAAAAAACATATGGATTAATCCAAGTTTACACTGTCTCCTCATGCAAGCTGCAAAAATGGCATAACAGATCATATTCAATATTACATTAATTAACCACAAACTGAGCAAGCACCATTTCATTTCTTTTGCAATTATTTAGCAAATCAAATTCACTGACATGTTAGAGGAGACACTGTGAATAGCAGCATGTACATTTCATTGTACAGTGCAAAAATAGCATGCTACACTGTTGATTACAATAAACACTTTCAATTATCCTTCCTTATCTAAAAGAGAACAGTTTTTGAGAAACAGAACATAATAAAACAAACTGAAACGGAAAAATAAGATTTTTTCATCAAAGACTGTCCAAATCTGTTCATTCTGGAGCAGCAACTAATTATTATTTTAGCAGTCAACTAGTGGTCAGCAATTATTTTTGTCCATTAACTGACTAGTCTGTATATTGCATGTTGAAACTTTTAAATACATTATCAACCAAATAAATTGTGAAATATGGTGACTAAAGACTTCTAGGCTACAGAATATTTACAAATGAAATGATTGCGATCGAGTGATGAAAATCTAAAATTGCTTATTCTTTTTTGACATTTTGATACAATAACACCAGTGTCTGTGTAATAATAAGATGGCTTTGTAAGTGTTTGGATTATTACAATTATCAAAATGCAACTTTTTTTTTTTGAGTAGCCGACTCACAATTAGTCAGTTAATCCCCTTCTTTCACACATACATTGTAACAACTACACTAATACTTCACTACATTGTACTACTATACAAATACTGCAATTTTTTTTGTATTTCTTGTCTGTTATTTAGATATAAGAGTGTGTTTAAAATTATTCTAAAAGTGTCCATACAGTATTTCATTCATTCTTTAATAGGCTACTTCAGCTGCTCAACATAAAACTATAAGCTATTGTTGAAATCTACAAAGAACCCTTATTGTTGTACACCACAAGCTAAAGATTTTCTACTTGAGATAAACAAATAATTAATAAATTCTTGCTAAATTCTCAGACTACTTATTGGGGCCTAAACCATTTTGTTTACAGTTCGTTCATGTAGACTCAAATAGCTGATAAGTTTTAACCTTTGTCCCTTTCAAATGCACTGACAGAACAGAGCTGCCTACTTCCTTTAACCAAATCAGCATCAGTGGGAAGAAAACATTCAAAACTGTTGAGTATGGAAAGTTCCTCATTCAAATGTTGTTGTTGAAGGAACTGCTGCGATAGTAAATGATGTAATCGAATACAGGACAAGTGTGGACGTTATGCACAATTTAAAAAGCATTTTAACCACAACAAAATGTAGTGATTATGTTACATTTTATTAATAATTAATTTCTTCTTACAGTTTACAAAAAACGTTAGATAAAGTAGACAAGAAATTTAAATAAATTTTAAAATTGGTAATGTTGCCTTCTCGATATAATTGTTATTTTGAAAATGTGTTTTATATGTGAAGTTTTATAGATATGCATATAAGATGTCGGTAAATTCAAGTTCAAATAGAAAGCTCTTATCTAAATAGCCCGATTTGATATTATTGCCGTAAAATGATGTATGAGGAAATAGTGTTTGCCAACTCAAGCTTGTAGTATAACTGAGTTATTATTATTTCTTAATAACTTGATGTTATTAATGCTTGAGGATAAACAATTTAATCTGGTTTCAAAAAAAAGGAAACAGTGAAAGTTTTTGTCTTTATTGCTCAGGTCTACTTCTCCAAATGAAAAATGGGTTGACAATTCTGGTCTATCAAAATTCTTATCTAAATAACAGCCAATGTTATTTGATACTACTGCCATAAAATTATATGTGAGAAAAGATGCTTGCCAATTTATCAAGCTTGTAGTATTGAATTATTATTACTGTTTTGTTTTTGTTATTAAGATGAATTTATTAGTTTACTCTATTTTTTATGAGTTAATATCTAAATGTTTTAACACATTAGCAAGTATTGGTCTTTTTATTGCTCCTGTCTACTTCTTGTAAATGAAGATAGGTTAGATAATCAATCATAAATCTTTAGATAAAAAAAAATGATTTGGAAGAGTCTCAGTAAAATGGGGCAATGCATGAATAAATATGCCCGTGGATGCACGCAGATGATTAAAGTGGGCACTAAATGGGCTTGTTTACATCTTAAATGAGTGACTTACTTTCTCCGTTCGCTCGGTGACAGCTCAGTATGCAGACGGCGACCACAACAAAACACAAAGTCCGAAGCCACATCACTGAACGCGGTTGTGCCAGCGCCCTCGGTCCGCTGCTCCTTCCTTCGCAGATCCTAAATATTCCTCGTGGAAAAAGGCTGGTGCACTGTGATATAGGCTAAACTTTTAGGAAATGGCTTTTGTGCGGCAGCTGACCGGTAAATAAAACTAAATAAAAGGCATGATCCCGGAAAATGGGCGGAGGAACGAGTCCAACGTGTTCAGTCCGACAACACACGCTAACATGCAAAGCTAGCGCAGGTTAAAAGCGCTCCCCATACAGAAATATCTCTCGTACCATGAAATCAAGCTTTAACAACAACCTGCCGACTCAAGTGTCCAAGATGATTTCGTCCATTGTGGAAAAAATGACAGCGTGCGCGACTTATTTTGACGCAGTCCGGGCTAATGTCAATAGCTAGCTTTAGCAAACGGCACTTGTGCTAACAGTAACGTGAAGACAGGCCACGAGCAAAGTTTTCTCTGCTCTCAACTTAGCCCTTTTAAAATAACTTTGTCCACATGTTACAACACGCAAATAGTCCGATTTCTTCTTTTTGTGTCACCAGTGTCAAAATGCATGCATCTAAAGCGGCACATAGACAAAACTCAACTTAATAATGTACAAAATGTGTCGCTGCTGCTGCTGCTGAGTCGATGGTTATGGCATGCGTGGCGTTGGCTTGCGCTCTTTTTTTTGCACAAAATCTTATGAAGTCCTCCAAACGCAAACACGAATGCACTTAATTACAGACTCGTTTTGTCTGGAAATAACAGATTTTGACGCCAAAGCTGCACCTCAAGGCTGTCCAGTCATTGCAGAGATTTCAATGAGCATGTATAGACTTCCCCAGCGTTGGACTGTCAGTCAGCTGCGCTCCGCAATGTTTGGGAATAAAAAAAACTCCAACTTGTGTCCACGCGTCACAAAGCTGCCTCAGATCGGAAACAAGTGGTAGAAATCAGGCCAAAATGCACTTTAAATATGTTTTTGTCTCTTTTTTTTCTTGTTGTAGATAGGTACAGAGGTAGATCTCATGCGCACAGGTCCTAAGATCCCGTTTTCCCAGAGTCTCTTCTCCGCCAGTAAACAAGCCGTGCCAAAGAGCCAGAGATGGGCGAAAAGGGAAACACGGAGTGGAGCTTATTGGATTACACAACAAAGTGACAGACGAGACCGCCGCGGAGGAGAAAGCCAGCTACTGCACATATTACATTGTTATTATGAAATGCCAAAGGATTTTCAGCGCTTTTAAATGGGTTTTGAGGGGAGCGGGTTAAGAAAACTATGGTTTAGTAATGATAAGGATTGAAAGAGGAAGCTTAGACTTAGACTTTATTGATCCACAAAGGAAATTACTTGGACACAGTAGCTTACATATCACAATATATTACAATAAGAAAGAGTACCAAATATATATGTATAAAAAAATATAATAAACGTCTAAATAAGTACCAATAAATTATTTATAATTATAATTTTTTGGAAAAGTAATTTAATAAACTATGAGCAACTAGTCTAATTTGTAAAAAAAAAAAAAAAAAAAAAATCATATTTGTTTTTTAAAAGAAAGACAACACTGAGAAATTTTAATCATAAAAATCAAGACAGTAGTTTTTCAGTAGCATTTACAATATGGACATAAATTAATTCTTCTTTTGTACAATCTTCAATTTCTTTCATTCTAATCTTGAAAAGTTATACATTATATATACATTATATAAGTTGGTTAGAATTGAGAAGATATAGTTTAAAAAAAATACTAGGTCAGTCAGTGAATGCCCCATGCAATAAGATAATTTACAATAATAATACATTTATTTATTTATTTATTTATATAGTACTTTATATAAGACAATGACAAAAACAAGCAAAAACAAATTATTTTAGTATCACTCATTTTGTTGTTACTCAGTATTTTTCCAAACTATTACAGTGTTATGTTCTTGTAATGCAACAAGCTTTAATCCCTGTTTATTCTTTTACACTAGTACCATTTTGGCTATGTTTCAGTTGTCATTTACTATCTCTACTTCCCAGTGTATTTTGTTCTGGTGTGTTTCAGGACTGTAAGGAAGTGCAGCCTCTTGTTTATCATTGAAAAGCAGAACTCTTCTTTCATGGTTCACACACAGAGACAGAGAGGCTGATGGGAAAAAAAACATTGCATTACGCATTTCACACCATGTTCTCTCTAAGGCCTAAAATATCCTGCCTAGTTCTTGTTTTTGTCTATTTATGTTGCTTATTCACTACCTGTTTACAACCACTATCAAAGCAGCGAAGTGATGTTCTGCTTTTCCTTTAAAGTCACAAAACAAGGAAATACAAGAAAGAGTGTGTATGCCAAAAGGCCCATTAAAGAGATAAGTCTATTTTTGATGTTAAAAGTATATATTTAGTTTGGACAAATATCTTTTTTTGTATTGTTTGAAGATATAAAATCATATCTCGTCTCGACTTGAGTTCGGATTTTTAATGCTTGACTCAGAATTTCTCTTTTGTCTAGTGATGTTTTTATGATCCTGAAGAGCAGCTGACCTTATACTGTCTACCTACTGAAGCACTTTACAAATCAATATTTTTTTGTTTTTCTTAAGTCAAGTCAGTAAAGAAGCCAAACTTTAATTGCTTATTAAAGTGATTTTTTTTCTGTTTGGTGGTTTGTTTGGAGTTTTTTGTAGTACATTATTATGCCTGTAGGGAAATTGTCCTTTGCATTTCACCCATCCTATCAGGAGCAGTGGACAGCATATGGGGTGCCCGGGACCCTTCTCCATGATCTTGTTGCTAGGCTTGGTCAGGACTACCTTAGATGGAGGATCTGATCTGGTGCATGTTTTGGGTTGATGGGAGAACCCAGAGTGCCCAGAGGAAACCTACCCAGATACAAGGAGAACATGGAAACTCCACACAGAAAGGCCCGGGCGAGCCAGGGTTCGAACCCAGAACCTTCTTGTGGTGCTAGCCTCTCAGCCCCACACCAATAGTGGTGTTTTGCCACCAAAACAACACCATTGCACCATAACACTGAAGCAAATTCCTTGTTTGTGAATTTTGTTTACTGACAATGGCAATAAAACCCATTCTGATTAGGGGAATGATTAGAGGCCTTTCTCCCATTCAATAAAAATTATTAAAAATGCACCCAGCAATTAAAAATGAAAATGTTTGCTTCATTTATAGACTATGTATACAAATGGTCATAGCTAATCTGATAGTATTCCAAATATGAAGTGACTATAGTCATGCTTTCGACTTCATTGACTCTGGCTACAATTCACTTGTATTGAAAAAGCGTCGCCTCTCTCTGTAACTGTTGCTGTCAGGCTTACAATGTTTGTAATAGTCTGCTCTGCATGATACTGGTGTTTTTATTTCGCTATCTTGTTCTTAAATCAATTCCTATTCCTAATATGGAGCTCAGCTCCAAAGTTGCTCCATTACTGCAAGCCTTGGGGGGTTTCATTTGACTGGAGCCAAATGATATGGGTGATGTCTATGGCTTCAGTAGAGCTTTATGATAATCATATAGTGGTCATTAGTTGCCACATAACTGGTTCTGGTCTCCATTTTGCCTGTTTGTTTTGAACAGTTTTTTGTTGTTTCTTGCTTTTTTTATTGCTGCTTATTTAGAAGTTTATTACCATTTTTGTGTATATATTTTTTTACTCTTTGTTATTGTAAGATAATGTGATATGTGAGGTATGTGTCCAGATAATTTCCCTTGTGGATCAATTAAATTTGTCTAAGTGTAAGTTTAGCAATATGGATGGAATAAATTTTTCCATTTGCGGGAAGGTTGAGAAACAGAGTTGACTGTCAGTGACCAGAATCAGCTATTGAAGAACACATCGACTCAGAGAATGTGACTAGTCGGTGAAATTGCACTTTCTTATCCTCTCACGTGTCCAAAACAGTAGAGCTACAGGAAAACAGGCTTATGAAGCAGAGGGTCAATCAGCGTACAGTCCTGAGGTTAGCATCATTTAACAAAAGGACCAAAAGGTGAAACGAGCTGCAACAAACCAGAGCTTTATGGTACTAAGGGTTAGTTTGAATGTCACTGTGCGGACCTAATCCCATAATGTGAGTGAGAGAGCTGTGATAATGAGATTAAAGTATTGAAGTAAAGTTAGTCCATGCAGTTCCCATTCAGTAGATACACGGCAAGTAGAGTGATTTCTCTTTTGCCAGATAGCCTTTGTATGTAAAAAGGCAGTATGTAACTCTGCTGGTGGAGGTGTTTGTCTCCACTGAAGATACAATTGCATCTATATAGCATTTCTTTTATTTTGCGTGTTTTAATTATGCTCAAAAATAACTTCAATTAAGGGTTGCCTCTTTACAGAGCTGACCTGTAAATTGGCGTTGACATTTAGTATTAGACAAGTACAATACAATTTTTAACACTGGATGCGCAACTGACAATACACTATTATTCGTAGTGATTAATGTACACCTGTTGATCTTAAAAAAAAATAAAATCCATCAAAAGGCCCATTTAAGTGTTTAATGTAACTTAATTTTGTGGTTTTTCAAATAGTGTTATTTATAGCAAATCTTAGCCTTTCAGCCACATTATGGCTCTGGACTACTAATGTTTTTATTAGAGGAGACAGAAGTAGGTCCTCCGCACATGATCTAATCACTGACTGAGAGGAGGGAGCAGGAGGGAGACGTTTGTTTCTAGCTTCAGAGGTTAATCCTGAGTCTGACCTACAGGTCACAAAGATCAGATTGGGTCAAATAAGTGGCCTGTGTCATACAAACCAGAGGTAGTGGATGAATGGATTATCTCATGGAAAAGAAAGATTATTTCAAGACAAGTTACTATTCAAATGGAAAGGAATAAAATAATTTCGACCCAGTGGTAATAATGTTGAATGTTTAGTTGGTGACAGTGGCTCAGGGGGTAGAGCAGTTCGATCCTATAATTGAGTTTGTTCCTGAGTACATTCTGTTGTTTGTCCTTGGGCAAGGCACTTCACCTCTTGTCTAAGTATGAATGTGGTTGGAGAGGCTGTTACAGTAGAGTAGACTGACAACCATGCTTTTGTCAGTCAGCCCCAGGGCAGCTGTGGCTACAGAAATACCTGACCAGTAACGAGTGCGTGGCGTGAGTGAATATTGTAATGTAAAAATGTGAGTGTCCAAAGGTTCTAGCAAGACCAATGCATTATTAAAGATACACTATGCAACTTTTCTGGTGGTTGACCCTGCAGCAGAAATGTTACATAGTGCACCTAAAGTAGTTTGCATTACATACAACACAAATCCTTCTGTATTATTTTGTATGCTATTTTGTAACTGACTGTATCTGAAGGCCAAACAATGTGTTTATTCTGAGATGAGTACATTACATGCAATATTTACCCAGTGTCATCTTGCTTATTGCTTTCACAGAGATGTTCTCAGGAAATTAGTATCACAAAAACAAGCAAACATGAACGTCCGGATACAGCGTCAATCTGGCACCAGGAACAAAGAGGAGACTATTCATTCCCACTCAAAACTGTTAATACAATGTGCGGAATACATACAAAACATAAACATTAGTCATATTTTATTTGTTATGACTACAATTACAACAATTACTAAAATAATCTATCCCTGTATTCCTTTTTGTAGCATTATGAACACAAGCAAAATAACCCCAGTATATGCTCACAGTAAAAATCAATTATTTGTAAATGTGCTCTCATCTTCGAGTTTCAACTGGTTTTACTGTTGCAATTTGAATATAGACCTACAATTTCGCAAAATCACTGAATTACTTCACAGAAAAACCTCTCTAGTTGTATGTCATTTTGCCTTGTCTTGGGAAATAGGGCACAGCCATTCTCCCTATAGACGTTTTACATTACATAATCCTGCAGCTCTTGTATGCAAATTTTCTGCTCCTGTGTCTGTGTCTATGGGTCAGGTGTGTCGGCTGTTTGGTCTGTTGTGTCTCTGTCATGGCACTCATATAAATCAACTCCATCTGAACTTTGTTTTCCAGGCGCATTATGTAAAACAGTAGTAGGCCTACGTGCTGTGTTTCAGGCTACACTGTTCAACTCAAAACATGCGCAATAGGTCAAAATCTGATGAATGGGTCAAATGCAGAGGACAACTTTTCCTGCGAGAATAATAAA